GGGAATTTTGGGCCCTAGCCTTGTCTTTGAAGATCTTTTAAACCCCATACTCTTTAGAATGCCTTTGGGTCCCAGTCCCTCATCCCTGCTTGCTGTATGGCCTGGGGGATCGTCTTCGCAGTATTTTTTATTTATAAAGATGTTACAGCTGTAAAGTGGCAAAATCCTCACCTCCCTTTGCCCATGTCAGGCTCTCCTGTTTTATCTTCCTTTAGACTGTGGGAACAACTGACTTCTGTGATTTGTTGGGGTATTTATTTGTCAGCCTGTCTACTCTCATGTGCCTGATAAAGTTTTAAGTCCTAACAACACTAAAACCTTTTCATTAGAGCTTGTTAGCATGGACTTTGTGTGGGGAGAAAAATGCCAGGGATGTGAAGGTGGGAGCCCAGGACTCCGATCTCTTGCTCACCTTTTCCCCTCATTTCTCCTTTTGTTCCTAAATATGTAGCTTTATCCATTAGTACCCTTAGCCTAACTGAAAGCTCAAGGCACAGCCCTCGTAATAATCTGCAACCTTCTGTTTCCCACAGGCACTGAATGATGCCAAGCGGGAGCTTCGCTTTCTTTTGGTTTATCTTCATGGAGACGATCACCAGGACTCTGATGAATTCTGTCGGTCAGTGGATCGATCGTTTTCTTTCTTTTTTCTGACCTTCCTGCTGAGCGTTTGCAGTAAGCAAGCTCTTCTCATGTCCTTTTCACCCCTCTCTACAGCAACACGCTCTGTGCACCTGAAGTTATTTCACTAATAAACACTAGGATGCTCTTCTGGGCATGCTCCACAAACAAACCTGAGGGATACAGGGGTAAGTTGTGTTTCCTTTGCCTCCTTGTGATTGTTGGGGTGTCTTTGGAATGATCTGGAAAGACAGTGCTATCTATAGATTGTCTCATTTAATCCTCTCAGCAGTCCTGAGAGGTGGGGTTGTATCACCTCCTCTTTATGGTGTAGGAAACAGACCAAGAGAGTTAAGCCTGGCCCAGGATCACGGAGTTAACAAGTTTTGGAATTAGCTCAGGTCTGTCCAACTCTAGCCCATTCTTTTATTTTAATTACAGCTAACATTCAGTATTGTATTAGTTTCAGGTGTATTGCATAGTGGTGTACAACATAGTGGTTAGACATTTATATAACTTAGAAGGATGCCCCCGATAAGTCTAACCCACCTGCC